AAAATAATAATGATTATAATTATCCATTATCAAAATAACAGTGATAACTATAATGAAAGTAATGGTAATGATAATAATGCTATTAATAATATTGGTATTGATAATGATAATGATAATAAAAAAATGATAATATCAATGACAATGAGGTGCAAGGCAGAGATGGAGAGGGGGATAAGAAAAATAATGGGAATGATGATGATGATAATCATTATTGTACTGATTATAATCTTTATTTTTTATCATCATAATTATCGTCATCATTATTATTATCATCAACATTATTATCATCATCATATTATCATTTTCTTATCATAATAATTATAATAATAATAATAATAATAATAATGGTGATGATAATAATGATAATTATTGTAATGATTATAATAATCTTTATTTTTTATCATCATAATTATCATTATCATTACTATTATCAATATCGTCATTCTTATAATTATCTTTTTGATCAGTATGATTATTATGATTATTATGATTATTATCTATGTCACAATTTCTATCTCTAATGTTATCAATACTATCATTATCATTATTATTGACATTATTATTATCATTATCATTACCATTCTCATTATCATTATTATCATTTTTATTATCATCATTATCATCTTTATTATTATCGTTATTATGATTGTTATCATCATTGTTATCATTAGTGTTATTACTATCACAAGATACACCTCTGGTAAAAAGAAAATCATAAAAATCTGTTCATAACTTCTTGAGTTATTCTGGTAACCAAAGAACAAACAAACATAACCTCCTTGGCGGAGGTAATAGTAATAATGGTAATAATAATGTTAATAATAATAATAAAATAATAATGATAATAATAATAATAATAATAATAATAATAATAATAATAATAATAAATAATAATAATAATAATAATAATAATAATAATATAATAATAATATAATAATATAATAATAATAATAATAATAATAATAATAATAATAATAATAATAATGATAATAATAATAATAATAATAATAATAATAATAATAATAATAATAATAATGGTAATGATAACAGTAATGATGATAATAATGAAAACTAAAATAATGGTAATAATAATGGTAATAATGAAAATGGTGATAAAAAAGATGATACTAATAACCATAATAATAATATTGATTGTATAGATATGATTATATTTGTCCGTAATCCATCTATATTTATGTGACATTTTACTTGGAATCCCTGCATTCTACTGTCCAGTCTTATAGTCATGGTCCCCCGGACATTCTATGCAGGCACCAACCTCCTCAGCCAATGAGAGAGAGAGAGAGACAGCTGAGCTCAAGGAGATTGCAGGTTGCATTTGTTTTGTCTTCGCACCTGCCCTTTTGTGCTTGACACGTGTGGTGTTACTTAGCCTGAATGAAGCTCACTTGCAACTTGAGTTTTAAAGAACTTAAGGACAAAAGAACCCATGATAATAATAATAATAATAACAAAACTAACGATAAGAATAATAGTAATGGGAATGATGATGATTGTCATTGCCATTGTCACTACCATCATCACTATCATTTTTATTATTATCCTTATTACTATCATTATCAGTTATCATTATTATAATCAATATCATTATGATCACTATTTCTGTCATTGTCATTATCATTATTATCATTATCATCATCATCATTCTCATTATGAATGTTATTATCATTGCTATTATTATTATTATCAATATTATTATTATCATCATCATTACAAAAAAAGATAAAAATAACGATAATGATCATAATAGTACTACTGCTATTAGTAATAATAATGATGATGATAATAATAATAATGATGGTAGTAGTAGTAGTAGTAGTAGTAATAGTAATAATAATAATATCAGTAATTATGATAGTAATAATAATAGTAATAATCATGATATCAATAACATCAATATTAATAACAGTAATAACAATTGGAATAACAAAAATTATAGGAACAACAAAAATAATGATGGAAATATGAAAACAACAGCAATAATTGTAATAATAATAATAACAATGATGATGATGATAATAATAATGGTAATAATGATAATGATAATAACAGTAATTATGATAATAATTATGATAATAATAACAGTAATAATAATGATGATGATGATGATAATAATAATAATAATAATAATAATAATAATAATAATAATAATAATAATAATAACGATAGTGATAATGATAATAATAATAATAATAACATATAATAACCAACGATGATGATAATAATGACGACGATGATAATGACGATAGTGATAAGAGTGGTGATGATGATGACGATGAAGAGTAGGAGGAGGAGGATGGTGATGATGATGTGATGATGATGGTGATGAGGCCGAAAATGATGATAACGTTGATAACATCACCATAGTCACCAAAATCCCGTCATATTGCGAGAGCTTGCTATGAAATGGAACGGCTTTGCCAATGACTGCAGACGGGGCATCTCAGGCCAACCACATGAGATTCTGTTCTTCACTTACCAGTCTGGGTATCTTGAACATGGTTTGGGAATGTTCGATGACCTTCTTGTTGGCGAGCCAGTTGACCAGCGTGAACTCCAGCAGCGCTCCAAATACCATGATCATACAAGTACCGATCCACACATCGATGGCCTGTGGAGCAGCAAGTGGATTTTGTGTATGCATTGTGCTAGCTCAGAGATGCATCCGCCATCACTAAACACGGGTATTGACACGGTAAATGTCGGCAACACCCAATGACTACATACATATATAATCCGATACTGTAAGCCTCACTTTTAGCACCAACCTTGACATAGGACACAGGCGGCAAGGATGCCCTGATGCCCGAGGCGAGGGTGGTGAGGGTGAGCAGAGTGGTGACGCCGAGGGACACTCGCCCGGGCACGGCGTTCGGGTCCAGCCAGAAGGACACCCACGAGATGGACACGATGAGGATGGTGGGCACGTAGGTCTGCAGGACGTGGTAGCCGTTTTGGCGACGCAAGTTGAAGTAGACCAACAAACCGCTGAAGTTACCTGTTGTTAAGTACCAGGGTATTTACCAGATTATATCGAGAGAGACTACTTTTCTCTTATTTTTTCGTAACACTGTGCCTGCAAAATAGAATAAGATATGCCCTACTTAGAACCAGCAATATACTCAGCTGACCTGTAGTGAAGACTTGGGTTGTATCCTTGCAAGTGTAGTTCAGAAGGTCAAATTGGGCGATCTCCAGCTGATCAGGCAGGTCGATGGGACTGTCGCTCGCCCACTCGTAGTCAATGACCTCCTCCGTGTTGGCGTCTGCAAGAGGGGCGGTTTGAGACGGAACCGAGGGCCCGGCTTGCATGCTGGCCGCAACGGCTGGTTAGCTATTGTTTTCATTTAAATATAACCGTATGCTATATGTACATGCACGCACACACACACAAAAAAAATAAAACAAAAGAAAATAGATACAACCACATACGCACACACACACACATGCATAAAGATACACATCTCTATGGGTTATGTGTTGATTTCCAGTCCTTAACTCATAACATATTTTCTGATAAAATCCGGTCCACAGGCTGTGTTTGAAACCATGAAGTGACTTTAGAAATCAGTGCTTCATCATCTTGGAAACGTTTGCCCTTCAAAATTACTTGATGGGCGGAAAAACGTGAAAGACATAATACAAGGTCAGGGGAATAAGGAAGGTGAGGAAGCCTGCCGTAGCATGCGAAGCGAAGCGTAGTAAGCTCCGTTAATTGTAGTACCCTTTGCCAGGAAATCTATCATCACTACTCACATGACACACACACACACATATATATATATGTAAATAAATGCATGTATGTACTGCCAGTGCATACCCTCTCCATCATCGAGACTCCCTGCAGTGCCTCCTCATGGCCTCCCATGGAAACTGGGTACCTTGCGGTTCGAGGCTAAACCGAGGGGGATCTCAGAGCAGCAGGAGGCCCCAGAGGTTCAAGGTTCATGGCCCACCGGCATGTGGACACACCCTGGCCCTGTACCAACTCCTGCCCCCAAGCCCCCTGAGGTTAATGGGAGGCTTGGGGGAGGTGGGCCTTGCTAGTCCTCCTCCCCTAAGATATAAACAATAGGCAGTGCTTGATATGGATGGAAAGGCTGGGAGGGGAAAATCCCCTCCCACCCAGCAAGTGAGGCGGACTGTGGGCCCTGCTGGGAGGGCGACTGCTGGAGCGCAGGCTGGGAACGGGAACTACACGTCTCGCCTGCGCTCTGGTGGCCGCCAGCCCAGAGTGAAGCTTGTGGGGGAAAGCCCTCGGGAACCCCACAGGTGGATGATGGGACACGCACCCCGCCACCCCCTTTTATGTGGGGCAGCATCGGTGAGGGTGGCAGAGGTGGCATCTACCTGGAGTGATTGCCAGAGGCTGAACCTCAGGCAGGAAGTCAGGGTGGGGGCTTGGAACGTCCATTCTTTGCGTCAGGATGATCGGTTGCCTCTACTGTTGAGGGAACTGGGGAGGCTGAGAGTTGACGTGGCTGCTCTCTCGGAGGTGAGGAGGCCTGGCAGCGGCATGACATGACCAGTGTAGGTGGCTACACCTATTACTGGTCGGGCCGCAGCGATGGCCACCATCTCCAGGGAGTAGCCATTGCCATCTCCAGCAGACTCCAGCCCTCGGTAGTAGAGGTTATTCCTGTTGATGAGCGTATAATGGTATTGAGATTGAAGCTATCTTTTGGGTTCATATCTCATATTGCTGTGTACGCTCCTACCGATGTTTGTAAACTTGACATGAAAGAGATGTTCTATGCCAAACTTACGTCTGTAGTAGACAGATGTCCCCGGCGAGATATTCGCATTGTTCTGGGTGACTTCAATGCGGTATCTGGCTGCGATCGAGCTGGGTATGAGATATCTGTCGGTCTCCATGGTTCAGGAGCTGATGCCGGTAGTGAGAATAACCTCCTTTTCCAGGACTTTGCTAGGTCCCAGAAATTGAGGATTTCTGGCTCCTGGTACCAGCGTCCAGATCCACATCGCTGGACATGGTACAGTGATGCGGGTAATGCAGCCAAGGAGATCGATCACATACTCGTTAGCACTCGTTGGAGGATCCTCCAGAATTGCAGGGTGTACAGGTGCTGAGTTCTGTGGTACTGACCATAGATTGGTTGTGGCTATCCTCTGGGTCCACTTCAAAACTCTCCAGCGGTCAAATGATCACCCTAGGGTGTTCTATTTGGACAGGCTGAGGGAGGGGGCGTGTGCCCGCGGGTTTGCTGAGGCAATCTCTGATCGTTTAGCAATGCTCGACAGTCTGACAGACCCTGTTCTTCTGTGGGATACCTTCAAGTGTGAAATGCTTGATGCAGCTCAAGAGACGATTGGTGTACGGCCGAGAGCAAGACAGAATTCCATCTCGCGGGAGACACTGGAAGCCACAGATGCATGTCGTGCAGCTTGTCTGGCAGGGGATCGGGAATTACAGCTTCTCATGTGCGCAGAACTCTGTCTCTTTTAAGTAGGGACAAGGAACAGTTTATTAGGAGTCTTGCAGAGGAGGTAGAAGGCCATTTCTTAGTAAATGACCTTCGTCCTGCATACCAAGCCCTGAGAAAGCTGAATTCCAAGCCCTCTTCACAGGTGACAGCAGTTTGCTCAGTAAGTGGTCAGATCGTTTCAGATCCTGTTGCGGTGCGGGGACGTTGGGCTGAGTATTTCGAGCAGTTGTACCAGGTTGACCCACCAACAGTTAACTTGGATGCGGGTAATGTCGAGATCCCGCTGCCGGATCCACCCATCAGTGAGGACCTTCCCCGCTCTAACTGAAGTTAGGGGGGCGATTTCCAAGCTGAAGAGTGGTAAAGCAGTAGGTATCTGCGGCATACTAGCTGAACTGTTAAAGGCTGGTGGTGAACCTATGGCACGGGGGTTACATGCTGTCCTGGCTGCCATCTGGCGGTACGGTACCGTTCCTCCTGACCTGTTGAGGGGTGTGGTCATCCCTCTCTGGAAGAGGAATGGGGGACCACTGGGACTGCAGCAATCACCGAGGCATCACACTGCTCAGTATACCAGGCAAGGTTCTCCCCCACATCCTTCTGAGACGTATCAGAGACCATCTACTGAGGCACCAGAGACTGGAGTAATCCGGATTCACTCCTGGTAAGTCCAGAATAGACTATATCCTCGCGCTTCGAATCATTGTAGAGCGCCGCCATGAGTTCGGGCGTGGGCTGCTTGCAGCCTACATCGACCTCAAGAAGGCGTTCAATACGGTGCATCGGGAGTCACTTTGGGAGATCCTGAGACTGAGAGGAATTCCAACAAGGATTATTGGACTGTATACTGGTACTGAAAGTGCTGTAAAGTGTGGTGGGGGCCTGTTAAGCTTCTTTCCTGTTAGTTCAGGAGTGAGGCAAGGCTGTGTCCTTGCGCCAACTCTTTTCAACACTTGCATGGACTGGATACTGGGCAGAGCTACTGTTCAAAGTCATTGTGGAGCAACACTGGGCAATATCAAGGTTACTGACCTTGACTTTGCTGATGACGTTGCCATTCTATCTGAGTCTTTGGAAACCCTAGTGGCGGCTCTGGATGTATTTAGCAATGAATCGAAACCCTTGGGTCTAGAGGTCTCCTGCACCAAGACCAAGGTCCAAGAATTTGGGGACCTGTTAGGAGAACCTGTTCAGTCGGTACGTGCTTGCGGCGAGGACATTGAAGTCACAGAGAGCTTTACATACCTTGGTAGTGTAGTTCATAACTCTGGGCTGTCAGACCATGAAGTCAGCAGACGGATTAGCCTGGCAGCAGGGGTTATGAACTCTCTCAACAAGAGTATTTGGAGATATTGGTACCTGTGCAGAAGGACCAAGCTACGGGTTTTCAAGGCCCTGATAATGCCAGTTTTGCTATACGGTAGCGAAACCTGGACATTGTCCTGTGCCTTGGAGGCTCGTCTTGAAGCCTTTTGTAATAGGTACTTGCGCCAGATCATGGGGTACTGTTGGCGGGACCATGTGTCCAACCAACGGTTGGCACAGGACCTGTTATCTGCACAATCCGTGATCGCCAACTCAGGCTATACGGCCACCTGGCTCGCTTTCCTCAGGATGATCCTGCCCATCAGGTCGTCTCTATTCGAGACAACCCTGGGTGGAGGAGGCCTGTGGGACGACCGAGGAAGTCATGGCTTGGGCAGATCGACCAAACTTGCCGTGATGAACTAGAGATGGGCCGAGTGCCTGCCTGGCGTCTAGCCATGAGGGATCCTCGTAGGTGGAAGCGAAGGGTGGATGCGGCTATGCGCCCCGTCGGCGTCAGCCCCCTTGATGATGATGATGATGATGTACACACACACACACACATATATAAATATATATATATATATATATATATATATATATATGTGTGTGTGTGTGTTGTGTGTGTGTGTGTATACATACACACACACACACACACACACACACACATATATATATATATATATATATATATATATATATATATATATATATATATATATATATATATGAATGGAAAAACACTATGGAAGAAAAACCACAATGCACTATATTTATTGAAGAAAATGAGACACTTTTTCACTTTCTCCAATAAATCTAGTTTGTGCATTGTGTTTTTTCTATAAGTATATATATATATATATATATATATATATATATATATATATATATATATATATATATATATATATATATATATATATATATATATATATATATATATATATATATATATATATATATATATATATATATATATATATATATATATATATATATATATATATATATAATATATATATATATATATATTATATATATATATATATATATATATATATATATATATATAATATATATATATATATATATATATATATATATATATATATTATATATATATATATATATATATATATATATATATATATATATATATAATAATATATATTATATATATATATATATATATATATATATATATATATATATATATATATATATATATATATATATATATATATATATATATATATATATATATATATATATATATATATAATATATATATGTATATATATAATATATGTGTTATGTGTGTGTGTGTATAGATAGATAACATAAGCATATATATATATATATATATATATATAATATATATATATATATATATATATATATATATATATATATAATATGTATGTGTGTGTGTGTGTGTGTGTTGTGTGTTGTGTGGTGTGTGTGTGTGTGTGTGTGTGTGTGTGTGTGTGTGTGTGTGTGTGTGTGTGGTGTGT